CCCCTAACTCTGTGCCGGCGCCTGACTTAAACGCCGGCCAGGCAGTTGCGTGTCCCTTGCGCCCCCGCACTCTGCCACTGGGCAGTGCCCGGGATTGCACCAAGGCTTTGCGTCCACGGGACAAGTGCCCAGGGCCCATCTCAGTGTTGGTTTAGTCAGGTAATTAACGTTAAGGCACGTGCCGCAGTTCTAAGGTCTGATTAGCTGTAAAATGGGAGGCATGGCATTAAGGATTGGTGTCTTTGTTTTATTAGGAGGGGTGATTTGCCCCCAGTCACCACTAGTGTTTACGTGAGAATGACACTTTGTGTCTTTATGGAGTTTTATATGTTCCAGAGCATTTCATCTCCATAGTCACTTGATTTTGTGTAAACTCTGAAATACACAGGCTTGTCAGTTCCATTTTGTGAAGAACAGGCTTAAAGGGTGAGTTCTTGAGGTTAATTGGATTCTGAGAGGATGGATATAGGGAGGCAGGGGTTAACAGATGGGCTGGATACTAGATTGTCTTAGATTTGAGTATCTGAGCTGCCATCTAAACTCTGGAATCTTTCTAAAACTTTTCCACATTTTTTTTTTAAACTTTTCCACATTTATTGCTACTGACTACATAATGTGACTGTGACAATTACATGTGGTAAAGATACCCGTGTACATGTGCAAAGCCTCTGGCACATAACCTGCCCAGCAGTATTTATGAGGGAGTATGTGTGTGCTAGATGTTGAGAATTAATTGGGAAGCAAACAAGGCATGGCCTTTATCCACCCCTTCCCTTCCCCAAGAAGAAAAAAACATGTTTTAAAAAAAAATGTGTCATAGAACATGAAGGACTGAGGGAAAGGAGTAGGGTATGTACAGGTAATGGCCTAGCTTAGGTGGAAAGCTCTCAAGCAGGTAATATTCAGTGAAGACCAAAGGCAGGAACGTTGACTGTGAGAGGTTCTTGGCAAAGGAACAATGTCCACATTCAGGAAGTGGGAGCTGACTTTCTTGCAGTGCCACCTAGATCATGAGAATTCTTCATGACTCATTTATTGTGGCACACAGTGAATATCCAAGTATGTGTATGGTTTTTAATTCTGAACTTAGCATAATATGCACGTGGTAGATCCGGAAGATTTGAATTTTTGAAGATGTATTTTGGACAGATTGTGTATGTGCACACCTAGGTTATCCATACTAGAGCTGCGGTTTAACATTAAGATCACTTTGTATTTTTCAGAAGGAAATGTTTTTCAAGTTTTAGCACCTTAAAACAAACTTCAGAGAATTGTTCTTATTTGGAAAGTAAAACTAGAATTTTGTCATATTGATTTATCTGCTGTTTGGAAACTTATTGTTTGCTAGGGCTGCCATAACAAAGTGCCAGTCTGGGTGACTTGGACAGCAGAAACGTATTTTCTCTCACGATTCTGAAGATTAGACATCTGAGATCAAGGATTTGGCAGAGTTGGTCTCTTCTGGGTCTCTTCTTATCTTGCAGATGGCTGTCTTCTTTATGTCTGTGTTGAAATGTCCACTTATAAAGACACGTCAGTCATGTCGGATGAGGGCCCACTCTAATGACTCATTTTAGTTACCTCTTCAGAGACCCTGTCTCTAAAAATAGTCATATGTGAGATCTAGGGGTGAGGACTTCATAAAAATTTGTAGGCGTTCAATTCAGCATGTAATAGATGCCTTTGTTACATTAAGATTTGTCCTTCATTGAAACAGTAATAAAAATAGCAGTGGTGGTCTTAAATGGTAATGGCAACCACTAAAATGAGTGCTGTGTGCCACGCATTTTGCAGAGTGTTTGTTATCGATTATTTTATTTTCAAACCATCCTGTAGAGTAAGTACACTTATTTTCCCCATTTTCTAGATAACATTTCTCAGCCTCACTTTAGTAGATTGCTCAAGGTCACCTAGCTAATAAGAGGTGGGGTTAGAATTTCAGTCCAACACTGTCTGACTCCAGAGCCTGGTCTTAACTGTTATATTTTGCTGTTCTGCCATACTGATCATTTGATATCCTTTTCACAGGTTTTCCAATAGGATTCTCTCACCATCATGTCTTGGCTTGTTGATCTTGCTGGGAAGGCAGAGGATCTTTTAAACCGAGTTGATCAGGGGGCTGCAACAGCTCTTAGTAGAAAAGAGAACACCAGCAACACCATATATAGCAAAAATACTGACTATTCTGAACTTCACCAGCAAAATACAGAGCTGATTTACCAGACTGGACCTAAACCTGCTTATATTTCTTTGGCAGCTGATAACATTCAAAATAAAAAAGCCACCATCTTAGCTGGCACTGCCAACGTGAAAGCAGGATCTCGGACACCTGTGGAGGCCCCCCACCCTGCTGAAATTGCCTCTGCTCCTAGGCCTTCATCCCAGTTTGTGCGAAGAAAAAAGTCGGAGCCTGATGATGAACTGCTGTTTGATTTTCTTAACAGTTCACAGAAGGAGCCCACCGGGAGGGTGGATATCAAAAAAGAAAAGGGCAAGACTCCTGTCTTTCAGAGTTCCCAGACATCAAATGTCAGTTCTGTGAACAACAGTGTAACCACCCTCAAAACTGCTGAAGACAATTCTTTTGGGAACCCAACCCGTGGTATCGTCCTCTATTTCTTTTAGAATTAAGCAAATTGGATATGTCATCATAGCAGAAACGTTCTGAGAGTATTTCTCATCCACTGTTATGGGATCTGTCCCCTGATGTAAGGGCAGTTTCTCAGCAAAAGTATGGTGTCAACAAGTAAGGTAGCATTGAATACTGTTAGTCAATATGCACTTTATAGCAGGGACCTTTGAATGTTGTCTGCAGGATAACTTTGCCCAACCTAACATCTAAGAAAATAAGCCAAATTTGGCTCTATAAGATATTGTAAGATTTTTTTAAAAGAGGAAACTTCTTTTTGTACTTTATTTTAGAGTTGTGAGGTTCATGTGAGGATGTGCTACGTAAGTAAATTGCCTGCAGGTGAGGTTTGGGTGTCTCGTGAGCCCTGTCTCTCCCTGGCAGTGGACATGGTACCTAGTGGGTTGTGTGCCTAGTGTCAGTTGTTCTCAGTTCTGTGCTTGCAGGCCAGTGTTTAGGGCCTTCTTATGAGTGCAGTATTCAATTTGTTTTTGTGATAGTACACTTAGAATGATGGTCTCTAGCTGCATCCATGTTGCTGCAAAGGACATAATTTTGTTCTTTTTGGCTGCATAGTATTCCATTGTGTATATGTACCACATTTTCTTTATCCAGTCAATCTTTGATGGATATCTGGGTTGGTTCCATGTTTTTGCTATTGTAAACAGGGCTACAGTGAACATACATGTACAGGTGTCTTTCTGGTAGAGCGTTTTATGTTCCTCTGAGTATATTCCCAGGAGGGGGATTGTTGGATTGTATGGTAGCTCAAATTTTAGTTCTTTGAGAAAACACCACATTGCTTTCCACAAATGCTGAACTAGCATAAATTCCCACAAACAGTGTAAAAACAGTCCCTTGTCTCCACAGCTTCACCAATACCTGTTGTTTTTTGACTTTTTTTTCGAGTTGGAGTCTCACCTCTGTCGCCCAGGCTGGAGTGCAGTGACACACTCACAGCCACCCCAGCAGGTCGACCTGCTGGGCTCTGGCAATCCTTCCACTTCAGGCTTCCAAGCAGCTGGAACTACAGGCACACCTGACCACGCCCGGCTAATTTTTGTAATTTATTGTAGAGACGAGGTCTCACCAAGTTGCCCAGGCTAGTCTTGAACCTGTGGACTCAGGCAGTCCACTCGCCTTGGACTCCCAAAGTGCGGGGATTACAGGCTGAACCACCGAGCCCTGCTGTTTTCTGACTTTTTAATGATAGCCCTTGACCAGTGTGAGGTGGTATCATTATAGTTTTGATTTGCATTTCTCTGTTGATTAGTGAGGCTGAGCTTTTTTCCATGTTTGTTGGCTGCTTGGATGTCTTCCTTTAAGAAGTGTCCATTCATATCTTTTGCCTACTAAAAAAGAGAAAATTTTGAAATCCGAATAATACATGTAATTTTGGATTTGAGACAATCTCAGTTCTTTTTTTTTTTTTTTAAACTGGAATTATAAAAATGATAGAAACCTATACTTCACATATTTTCTGAGTTGTGGGTTTTTTTTGTTCCTCCCGCCCATATCTCCAGAAGTAAAGGTGAGAGACTGAACTTTGATCCACGTTGAAGTGTTGAAGGCACTGATTAAGTAGTGAAGTAAGAGCTTAGACCAGGCTCGGTGGCTCAGCCTATAATCCCAGCACTTTGGGAGACCGAGGCAAGTGGATTGCCTGAGCCTGCGGGTTTGAGACCAGCCTGGGCAACTTGGCGAGACTTTGTCTCTACAATAAATAAAGAGCTTAGAATTCTGATTTTCAGTTGTTTAGTTTTCTGTGATATTAACTCGACATCTCACTTGCAAAATCAGGTTAACATGGTAATATGGCTAATTCAGGTACCTACTAAGGGTTTTAAAACAGCACAATAGTTTTTTGTAGAAATTCTTTTCCTTTTTTTTTTTTTTTTTTGTCAGGCATCTCACTCTCCCTTGGGCTGGAATGCTGTGATATGGTCATGGCTCATGGCAGCCTTGACCTCCTGGGCTCAGGCAATCCTGCCTCAAGTTGAGTAACTGGAACTACGGGCATGTCCCACCACACCAGCTAATTTTTTGATTTTTTAAATTTTTTTTTTTTTTTTTGAGACAAAGTCTTACTGTGTTGCCCAAGCTGGTCTTGAACTTCCCAAAGTGCTGGGATGACAGGCATGAGCCACCTTGCCTGGCCCCAACAGTAAACACTTCTGAGAGAAGTGTGTGCCCATTCTGTGTGTCGAGTGCCTGCAAATTATATACAAGCATGGCTATTGGGAATTAATGTCTCAAGGCTTGGTATAAACTTAGTGCAACAATGGAAATAAGTCCATACTTCAAGTAACCTTCCTGAGAATTTCAGCTTTTAGGGGGAGAGAGTCGCTTGCAGATTTGTCACTGGCTTGATTTTATAATGCAGCAAAAAGCAAGGGCTGTCCTCCGGAGAGGAAGGACAACTATGTCATTTGCTTTTTTTTCTCCTGTGCTTACATGATTAGTACTGTCTTCAGTCTGTAGTTTTTTGTTTGTTTGAAACATGGTCTTACTCTGTCAATGAGACTGGAGTACCATGGCACAGTCATGGCTCACTGCAGTCTCCATCTCCTAGGCTCTGGCATTCCTTCCTTTTCGGCCTCCCAAGTAACTGAGACTTTAGGCATGGGCCACTGTGCCCAGCAAATATTTTTATTCTTGTAGAATGGGGTGTCACTCTGTTGTCCAGGCTGATCTCAAACTCCTGGACTCAAGCAATCCTTCTGCCTTGGCATCTGAAAATGCTGAGCCACTGCACCTGGCCTTGACTGTTTATCTAACCTTGTAAAGTGTCAAGTCTTTTGCCTGATACATGTTGTTTTAGTCAGTTTTATCATTTAGATGTAGTTCATTTTTTGTCACAGAATTTTTAATGTAATTTTTTCTTTTTTGGTTGGAGTCTCACTCTGTCATCCAGATTGGAGTGCAGTGGCATGCTCATGACCACTGCAGCCTCGACCTGCTGGGCTCAGGCGATCTTTCTGCCTCAGCCTTCCAAGTAGCTGGAACAACAGGTCCATGTCACCACTCCCAGCTAATTTTTTTATTTATTGTAGAGACGAGGTCTCGCCAAGTTGTCCAGGCTGGTCTTGAATCCCTGGGCTCAGGCAATCCTCTTGCCTCCACCTCTGAAAGTACTGGAATTACAGGTGTGAGCCACTATGCCCAGCTGAGTAATTTAAAATTATACCTGTATTACATTTAGTAACATTAAAAATAAGATTAATCTGAGTTAAGGAGTCTCTGTCTTCTTGAGTAAGACATTTTAGATTCCAGTTTGATATATAATGAATTGCTGTGACTTCTTATTACTCCCTTGCCTGAAAACCTACAGCTGTTTTATCGTGCCTTCCCAATATTTTCTATGTTGAGACTTCTCCCTATTTTTTTTTCTAAAAGCACTTTGGGGGCAAAAGGGAGTTTGAAGCCTTTTGTACCTGAACTCAACCACTCAGATTATCTCTGATGTTATTCTTCCCAGAACAGTATTGTGTTCTCTTTCACCATTCATTTGATGTATCTAGACTTTGAAGCTTTTTAGAGGTCCATAGGCTTCATTGACGAGAAAGAATTTTCGTCAGAAGGAAGCCTGTTGAGAATTTAAGTTTACTTTTTATGGTTATTTTTTTAACTATAGCAGTCAACTTGAGCCAAAAGGCATCCTACCAAAAAGTAAGCTACTAAACCATATGTGTTGAGTATGCCAAAGTAACAGAAACATATTCTTTTTTTTTTTTTTTTTACAGAAGCTGCCAATAATTCAGATTCTGGGACTGAAGTCCAAGAGGATTCTTCAAAGGCAAATGCATCATCAAATGCTGCCTGCAGTGATTACGACCCAGCCCCTCATGATGATAGTAGATCCCATGAACTGTCTAATCTCCGACTGGAGAATCAGCTGCTGAGGAATGAAGTTCAGTCTCTAAATCAGGAGATGGCCTCATTGCTGCAAAGGTCCAAAGACACTCAAGAAGGTAAAGCCTTGTTTAAATTGTTCAGGGTTAGGAGTAAACTAAAACTTAAACTGTTAGAAATTAGATGAGACTTGTAAAATGGTATTTATATTGAAATACAGGGCCTATAATTGGAAATGGGACCATTCTCCCACCAAATCAAAACAGAATATTGGCTTGGTTGGCATCCTAACCATGAGATCTAAGTGAGAGAACCAAACATTAGTAAGCATCTCATTTGATTTACTTATTCTGTACTTCAATCCATTCACCACAGATACAATTAAACAAAGTAGTAGATGTGAATGGGTAGGGTTATAGTATTGCTGTTCCAGGGGCATAAGATGTACATGGAACTCAGTTTGAATAGTGCCCTGGGAATTGTGCTGTGAGGTGGCCCTGGAGTAGAAAACCTCAAAAAACCTGAGATGGAGCTAGTCTCATGATGGAGGTAGTGACAGAAGGTGTGAATGTTACTGCAAGTGTGGCTGAAGAGAAAACAGACTGCATGACTGCTGCCTCTGTGCCCGGGCCTGATGAGGACAGAGTGAGGAGATAGCGGGGAAAGCAGACTAGGAAGATGGCTTAAACCAACTAGTCAGGCTGACTTTAGAAATAGCGTCTCTTTACCCAGATTGGTTTAGACATAGAATAGAACTTTTTCTGAGATCCTGTAAAGTTTGCTTCAGTAATAAATATTTTTTAGTGGCGAACTGCAATAGCAAATGGTATATGAGGGTGTGGAATTGCCATTGTATTCTGAAATAGAGACTGCATTCCTCTTTTTTCTCAATTTCCTAGTCTAAAAGTAACATCTTTTACAAAAGTAGTTGAAAGAAACAGATTCTTTCAGCCGGGCTCGGTGGCTCAGCCTGTAATCCCGCGCCTTTGGGAGGCTGAGGTGAGTGGATTACCTGAGCCCGCGGGTTCGAGACCCGCCTGGGCAACTTGGCAAGACCTCGTCTCTACAATAAATAAATAAAAAAAAAACCAGCCAGGCGTGGTAGCGCTCACCTGTAGTTCCGACTACTTGGAAGGCTGAGGCGGAAGGATCGCCGGAGCCCAGCAGGCCGAGGCTGCGGTGGCCGGGAGCGGCCACTGCACTCCAGTCTGGGCGACAGAGTGAGACTCCAACTCAAAAAAAAAAAAAAAAGAAACAGATTCTTTCCTGTATCTGTCTTTAGGTTTTGCTTTTGTTTGTTTTGTTTTCCTGGATTATGCCTTTGATTTGGATTTCCATTCCTTCCCCTGTCTCTAGCAGAACTTGCCAAATCCACTGATTATTTTAGTGTTGTTGACATTGTGCTATCTACCTACTAGTTCTGGCTCCCAGGTGCATTCTGAAAAATCTCCAGAAAAAACAACATTGTAGAAGAGCAGGTAGCTTCATGCCCCTTACTGATCTGTTAACTGTGCTAAGTGTGAATATTGGCCTTGAAAAATGGATGTCTCATTGGGGTAAAAAATTTAAAGATGTTAAGCTCCTAATTTTGGCAACAAGTGCTAAAGGGACTCAAAGTAGAAACTACATGTGCTCTGAGAAAGATGTGTTTGTTTTTACTTGAATAGAGAAATTTTACTTCTTTATAGAATTAAACAAAGCAAGAGCAAGAATTGAAAAGTGGAATGTTGACCATTCCAAGAGTGATCGAATGACTCGAGAACTCCGAGCCCAGGTGGACGACCTGACTGAAGCTGTGGCTGCAAAGGACTCCCAGCTGGCTGTGCTGAAGGTCAGACTCCAGGAAGCCGACCAGCTGCTGAGCACTCGCACAGAAGCGCTAGAGGCCTTGCAGAGTGAGAAATCTCGGTGGGTAGTTCTCTTAGCAATGCACAAAATGAGGGGGAAAGATTCTCTTTCCGGTACAAGTAATGGTAAACATTGTAGTGTATCCTGTTTTAGGAAATTTTAGTTTTTTGGGAAATTTACAAGAGGGAAAATTTCTTCTGGCAGTATTAGAAATGTATAGGATTCTGAGGCAGAAGGATCATCTGAGTCTGGCAGGTTCATGCTAGGGTGGCTGTGAGCATGCCACTGCACTTCAGCCTGGGTGACAGAGTGAGACTCCAACTCAAAAAAAAAAAAGAAAAAGAAAGAAATGTGTAGGATTATACTTACCTGGCAGGGGAGATACTGTGATCCTGAAGGTGGTTTTCACAGGGTGAGGCTTATCCATTGTATTCCAGATGTGCTGACCCTTGCAATTTCCCCAAATGTGGGAAACATGACTAATAATTTGTGGTAGTGAGGGACTATGTGGAAAAAAAAATGTATAGGATTAAAATGGATTCATTGAACCTACAGATACATTGTTAGCAAATCTGAATTTATTTATTTATTTATTTGTTTGTTTATTTTTAGGGTTAAAAGTGTAATTTTATTTAGATGATACTTGTACAAAAATAGGGAATGCATCACGAATGTGTGTGTCATCTTTGCACAGAGGCCATGCTAATCTTCTCTGTATTGTTCTAGTTTTGGTATATGTACTGCCGAAGCAAGCACAGCAAATCTGAATTTAAAAGCATTTGAATAGTGTCATTAATCTTTCAGTACATAGTGTGTGCTTATATTCAGATACCGAAAAATATGTATTATATTCCATTAGAAAAGAAAAAGATTTCTCCAAGTATGTTTTAGTCAGATCACCTGTTTTATACTTGATTAATAAGCTAACACTCTAAAAGTTATTTCTGCCTTTTTGCTTGTACACTGTGGAGATGAGTTACTGACATGAAGTCTTTTCTTTTAGAATAATACAGGATCACAGTGAAGGTAGCAGCCTGCAGAACCAAGCTCTGCAAACTCTTCAGGAGAGACTGCAGGAAGCGGATGCCACCCTGAAGCGAGAGCAGGAGAGCTACAGGCAGATGCAGGTTAGAGTCTGCTGTTATCAGGAGAAGGAAGAATAACTACACAGTTTCATAACACATGTACTTTTTAATAGAACTCTGCAGTGCATTTCAGAAAATTCTGTTTCTGTGACAAAAATCAGTATTTAAAAATTCAGCTTGATTCTTGCTAAATTTATTTTATTTTATTTATTGTATTGAGATACAATTAAAATAAATAATATGCAATGAAGCCGGGCACAGTGGCTCGTGCCTATGATCCTAGCACTTTGGGAGGTGGAGATAAAAGGATTGCCTGAACCCAGGGATTCGAGACCAGCCTGGGCAACGTAGCAAGACCTTGTCTCTACAAAACATCAAAAAATTAGCCAGGTGCGCATCTGTACTCCCAGCTACTTGGAAGGCTGAGGTAGAAGGATTGCCTGAGCCTAGCAAGTTGAAGCTGCGGTAGCTGTGATTGTGCCACTGCACTCCAGCCTAGGTGACAGAGTGAGAGTCTGCCTAAAAAAAAATTGCAATGGAGATATACATCTTTTACTTAATTTGTGCAACAATCATTACCATTATTTGATTAAATGCTAATGGTTGGACGTCTTCTTTTTAAACTTAAGCTTGTGATTCCAGATTAATGTGGTTCATTTATTTCAAGAGAGAATTGTACATAATATTATTTACAGTGCTATCGTTAAATGAATTCTTGCATCTAGTTCAGTCTCGGCCCTGTCTACACATTAGAATCACCTGTGTAATACTTTCTGCTGCCTGGTCCTCACACCCAGAGAGTCACATTCCACTGTATGAGGTAGGACCTAGGCATTGGTGCTTTGGTTTTATAAGATTCACAGGTATATCTAATGAGCAGTTAGGGTTACAAACCACTGGCCTGGGCTCTCTTTTCAACAGGTGAAAATAGTTCAGTCCTGAAAGTAAATGTCAGATAATGTGCTTTGTTTTGTTTTTTAAGTTTTTAAATAATGTATTTTATAACACAGTATATCCAAAGTATTATCATCTCAACATGTAGTCAGTATTAAAAATTACTAATGAGAATTTTACATTCTTTTTTGAATACTGATTCTTTGAAGTGTGGTATAATTTATACTAACTTACTAAATTGGAAGACATTACAGCTAGACCAGACCTAGTATCTAAGTGACCAGGTTCGCCTGGGAAATTTCTTAAAAAACAGAATTCTACCTGCATCTTGGCAACTTTAATTTAGTAAGCCAGGGAAGGGCCTTGGGCGGCTGTATTTTTAACAGACTTTCTACTGATTTTGATGCATTGCCATGTTGGGGAGCCACAACCTTGGATTTCCTCCTCTTGAACTCCTAGCAAATGAACTTTTCCCCTCCCTATTATGTTGTTGGCTGAGCTAATACATCCCATAGGATGTCTGAATGGATGGTTGTAAAGTTGCTAAGTGACATAATATGATATAAAAATTTGTCGCAGAGTGAGTTTGCTGCACGCCTTAATAGGGTGGAAGTGGAATGCCAGAATTTGGCAGAGGCACTTACTCTGGCAGAAAGGAAATACACAGATGAGAAGAAGAAGGTTGATGAACTGCAGCAGCAAGTCAAGCTGTACAAGTCAAACCTGGAGTCCTCCAAGCAGGAGTTAACTGACTACAAGCAGAAGGCTACTAGAATCCTCCAGGTAAAGATGTTGAGATGCTCCATTAACCAAGATACCCACTGAGATGCATGTTGGTACTATGAACTGGTTGCTTATGTTTGGCTTGAGTAGTTTGCTTCAGATGCCCTGCTCCGCTTAGATGTCTTATTAAAAGGATGAAATATCTCTTGTTCTACCACTGCTTTTTAATTAATTCTTACCACTGCTTAGTTTAGGCCTTCAACCTGTCATCTTAATTACTGCAATGATCCCAGTGTTTACTGGTGAGTAGCCATTTGTCCTTCCTTGTTGACCCCCTGTTGGATTTTTTTTGGAATGGCTGTATCCAGCCTTTTTCTCTCTTCCTTAGACCTAAGTGACCTTACCCCTCTCCTTTGATTTAAAAAAACAAACAAACAAAAACTATGACCATCTAATACAGTCCTCAGCTTCTCTTTTCTGTGGTTCTTGTACATTTTTTCTAGGACGATTTTCCTGTCCATGCCTGAATTCTGTCTGCTCACCTCGCTTAAGCCCTCTCTCCACGAGTCTGTCCCCTTTCTGTCTATGTCTCTCTCTGCAGCTGCCCTCTAGCCCAGTTTACTTGAGAGCATGCGGTTCCTTCGTGGGAAAATGAAGAGTAGGGTCTTGGAACTCCTGCCTAAGAAAACAGTCTCTTTCAGCTTTGTGGCCACTTTGAGCTTCCCTGTGCTGCTTTTTTTCAGTGTCAGCCTAATCAGAATTGTCATCTGAGTGCTGTCTTCATTCTGTGGAACTTAATAACTTTAACTCCTACTGCATTTCTGAAAATTCTTCTCAAAAGTGTTGATAACCTCCATGCCTGGTCTCTGTCCTTGTCTTAGTTTCCATGCCCTTGTTGGGTAGAGCGTTTGGCTCCCCCTCCTTGGGCCTCTGCCTCCTTTGCACTCACACCACCATGGCTTTCTCTTTGTCCTCTTCTGATGCTGTTCTATCTCTCTTGGGCCCTCTTCCAAATTTCCAGAGAGTAGGAGTCCTCTTAAGTTCTGTCCTAAACTCTCTTTCGTAGTTCCTCCTTAACATGCTCACTCTGCTTCTCTCTGCCTCTATGTGACTTCAGGCATGTCTCCAGCCCTACCTAACTCCAGTTTCTGTTCAGGCATGGAGTGTTCCAGCTCTCAAATCTGCTTCTCCTTCCATGTCCTATTCTGGTAGATACCATTGCTTTTGGGCAGTAAAGCTTGAAACCTCAGGGTCATTTTTAATTCTACCTTTTTCCTTTAGACTTGAACTCTTGCAGGCTATGAATATCTTTCTTACTCCACTTCCATGAAATAGCATATCCATCTCCTCCAGACCCTTCTTTCTAGTTATTTTTGTTGTATCACTCTAACTGGTTAATTCATTAGAAGGTCTTATTGAGCACCTGACTATTCATTTGGCAGTGATAGGTGTTAAGGATACAAAACTCAAACACACTTCCTCTTCCTTTAAGGGAACATTCATTTAGGTAGAGAGAAACTAAGATAATTGACAGGATAAGGCTACTGAAGCAGTACAGTGGGAGCTTGAGAGAAGCCCATAAAACTTGTCAGGGTTGTCCAAGGTCACTCACTTTGATGGGTGAGAGGAAGACTCGTGGCAGGAAGAGATTTCATATGGGACAGCCTAGGCCAGGGCAGGGCCTGAGGTGCTGCAGCCAGTTCCCTGTTGCTGGGACATAATGTGTTAGTGATTAAGGGTTGGGAGATGAAACTCAGTGGCAGGCAGGAGCCAGGTCATGGAGGGCCCTGTATACCTTGCAAAGGAGCTTTGATTTGAGCAGCATGATGAAGTTGAGTGTAAGACCTGTGGCAGTAGCAAAGGAGCCAAGGAGCACTGGGCCTTGGTCTCATTCATCGCTGTATCCCCAGGACACCCATAGTACCCCTGGAATCCGAGGAAATTAGGAATCATTGAAGGGATAAAATGTGGGATGGTGAGGTCAGAGGCATGTAGATAGTTGAGAGATGATTAGAAGAAATAGCGAGGACCTAATCTAAATCTAAGAGATGTGTTGGAGACAGAACACAGGAGACTTGGAGGGTTGGTTGGAGGACGGGGGAAAAGGCAAGTGGAGTCTGAGTGTATGAGTGATGTTCACTTGTACTGTAGAAGGAAAACAAGGAGAGTGTGACAGATGATGGTGAGTTTAGAATTGATGTGACCTTGAGATGAAAGTGTTGGAAGGTAGTTGGACATATAGACCTGAAGCTCAGGAGAGAGGGTGGGTGCTAACCTTATGGGAGAGGCTGAGGTCTAAGAATACATTCTTGAACGTCAGCACTTACAGGTTGGGCAAAGAAGAGCCTGCATAAGAAAAACACTGAGCAGGGAGCAGGCAGATGTTAGGGAACTGGGAGTCATCCAGGGAATCTCAGAAGAAGAACACTGAGAGGGGAGCGGGCAGGTGTTGGGTAACCAAGAAGGGACATATGTCATCCGGGGAACCTCAGAAGAAAAACACTGAGAGGGGAGCGGACAGGTATTGGGGAGCCAGGAGGGGACAGATACCATCCTGGAAACTGCAGAAGAGAAACACAGAGGAGAGCGGGCAGGTGTTGGGGAACGAGGGATGGATGGATGCCATCCAGGGGGCCTCAGAATAGAAACACTGAGAGGGGAGCAGGCAGATATTAGGGAACCAGGAATGGATGGTTGCCATCCAGGGAGCCTCAGAAGAGAAACACTGAGAGGGGAGTGGGCAGGTTTTGAGGAACCAGGAAGGGATGGACACCGTCCAGGGAGCCTCAGAAGAGAAACACTGAGAGGGGAGCAGACAGGTGTTGGGGAACCAGGAAGGGACAGACGCCATCCAGGGAACCTGCACAGGGAGCATCTCAAGTGCAGAACGGTCGGCTGGCATGGCCCTGATGTAATGGAGGAGTACTCTGGGGTTTAACAGCAAGAGGGCCCTGGGATCTCACAGGGGGATGCCAGGGTTGCTGACACTGAAGACATGAAGTCGTAGTTGGCCTAGCGTTGGATGTGAGGATGGGTACAGCAGCTTCAGGGGTGTGAGGTCAGGAGGTTTTGGTTCTTCATTTTTAAAAAAATACCTTAAAATTGTATAAATGATCGTGTTTATTATGGGAAATTTGAAATATATCAGAAAGTTTAAACAAGGAGGTGGAAATCACCTATAATTCTACCGCATAAAAGAGGGGAAATTATTCTTGAGGAGAGTAACTTTAAAATATTTATATTTGAGGTGAAGAACGGTTGGCCCTACTGCTGTTACTGCCCAGAAATGGTTTCTCCTCCTCAGAACTTCTCAAGTAATCTACCTGTGTCCCTCTTGCAACTTGTGTTTATGGCCTTCCACTGGATACTTGTACCCTCACTTTCAGTGTGCAAGGTGGAGGATCCTGTCTTGAATGAGAGACGTTAGCTTTGTTGCACAGAACACTTAGCACAGTGCCAAACATGTACTTGTTGAGTGGAATGTGATAGCAAATAAAAAGCGTGAGATTGATCTTGTTTACCACAGTTTTCAACTATAACATGATTGAGGACTCAACACCAAGGACATGTACCACAAAGCTCCATTGCTTTCTTTATCCATGTGAATTTAATAGTCTGTGCACCCTCTTTGATGGAGATAATTGGAATGTTTCCATGGTGGGTTATTTTCTGTGTATAGGTGACATTCAGTACAGAAGCTCATCTTTGCTTTGCTTAAGATGTTTAAATCTTTCTTTTTTCATAATAGTCGAAAGAGAAATTGATTAACAGCTTAAAGGAGGGCTCCGGGTTTGAGGGCCTGGACAGCGGTGCTGTTAGCAGCGTGGAGCTGGAGGAACTGCGGCACGAGAAGGAGCTACAGAGGGAGGAGATGCAGAAACTGATGGCTCAGGTGCAGCAGCTCAGATCTGAATTACAGGTACGAGTCCTGTAGCTCTGTGGGCACTGCTGACCCCTGGCTGCTTACAGTTTGAGAGGTGGTAGAGTCTGTATCTTGGGGAAGGGGCATTAGTACAATACCGTGTGAAACTTCTGCTGGAATGTTAGTTATCACATAGAAGTGAATCTGAAGCAGTGGGTTTCTTGTCCATCCTTTGACTGTAAAGTTATAGAAATAAGAAACGTGGGTAAACCAGATTCATTCACTCAGTGAATGGTTACCTAGTGCCCGACATGTGCCTGGGCTTGGAGTATAGTAGAGACAAGACACAATCTTTATATTTATGGAGCTTACATTCTGGTGGTTAAAAGCAAATCAGACTTGGGCTTAATGTGAAACTGGGAAGTTTTCTCATATGAGAATGGCCTCAGGAATGGTCTTTTAACTAAAATTTTATCCATTATCTTACGTGAACTACACAAAAAGTGGAAATAGGGTATCTTGTCTAGAGCATAGTCTTAAGTATCAGACTTATTCATTAAAGTAGGACTTTTTGTTGTCTGTAAATTTTATTTTTTGTTTTTGTTTATGAATTGGAGTCTCCCTCTGTCACTGAGACAGGAGTGCAGTGGCACATTCACGGCCACTGCAACCTGACCTGCTGGACTCAGGTGATCCTTCTGTCTCAGCCTTCCAAATAGCTGGAACTACAGCCATGTGCCAACACACAGTTAATTTTTGATTTATTGTAGAGATGAGGTCTCGCCAAGTTGCCCAGGCTGGTCTTGAACCCATGGGTTCAGGCAATCCTCTCACCTCAGCCTCCCAAATTGCTGGGATTATAGGTGTGGCCACCACACCTGGCCTATCTGTAAATTTGAAATCCAAAGAATTGTGTCCTATGAACTTAGAAATTGGGTAGATGTAAATTTATTCATGCCTATTCTATGTCTCGGATGAGATTATGAAAAAATATGATTTGTTTTATTTAATATCTTATCCCAGCATCATTAATGACATTGACTCATTTTCTTACCCTTTCTCAAAATTTATGAAATCTATAATGAAAAGTATTAGGTCTAGGAAAATGGAAGAATTATTAATAATTCCAGTCGCTGTCATTACTGAGCATGTATGTTCTAGATACTACACCAAGCACTTATATGTATCCTTAACGTTTATCACTTACCCATAACCCTCTGAGGGAAATGATGGTATTCTCATTTTATAGTTGAGGAAATTTAGGCATGGAGAAAGGAAAGTAACTTGCCAAAAGACTAGTGAGGTGGCAGAGCCAGAGTTAGAACCCAAGTCTTACTCCAGATGTGTTTTTGACAACTGTGCATACACTCTGCCTCTCAAGAATTTGCCTGATTTAGTCAAATTGATGACAAAGACTAATCTACCTTCTACTCACCCCAAAAACTCAAAGGTAGGGAAAGTTAATTGTAATTACTGCTTTTTCCTCCAAGTCCACAAGTTGTGTGAGTTTAGAGGATTGCACTGTGATTATCTGGGAGTCTTGTTAATCTCAGTTCCTTCGAACAATATGTGAAGTTCCAGAGTTTGTGGAGATGAGTATCAAACAGAATGTACCAAAAGATAAAAAGCAAAATTAAGATGCTATTTTAGTCTCCTTTATATGAATGGACTCATGCTTAACCCATAAGGGAAATACAGAAACCTAGAGCTCTTTGTCAGTAGGAGATTTGATAGGAAATCCAGAAGGTAGTTTTGGAGTTTGAGGAAGTGAGAGTAAGAAATATGGGAAAATATGAAAACCAGTAATAGTAAAAAAAAACAAAAACCAAAAACAAACCAGTAAAACTAAAACAAGAAAATTATATGCTAACTAAGGTGATAAAATGAGAAAGTTATTTTCTTACTGTATTTGATTACTGGAGAATGCACACAAAATGCAGTTTCAGAGGACTGATGTAGTGATGTCCTTTCTGGTGTTATATTTCGGTTATTTTTGAAATTACTGGCCTGACTAGGAGCATAAATCTCCCAGTGAGCCACTGGCTGCTCTTATTTGTGAGACTGGGTGGTCTGTGTGCTGCTACAGCTGTAGTGGTGTTCATTCCACTCACTGTTAGTGGCAGCACTTGATGAAGGCATCGGGTGGTGCACTCTTATGGACCAACATCATGCCTAGCCCATCTGATGCCTTCATGCCTGCAAGCCCATTCATGGAACATAACAGTTGCTAACAGTTGAACTGAGTAGTTAACTATTGCTTTCACATGTAAGTTCTTCTTCTTAGGAAATGGAGGCCCAGCAGGTTAATGAAGCAGAGTCGGCAAGAGAGCAGTTACAGGACCTGCATGACCAAATAGCTGGGCAGAAAGCGTCTAAGCAAGAGCTGGAGACAGAACTGGAGCGACTGAGGCAGGTGAGGGTTAGTGCGATGATCACTCGGGAGACCCTGTCCTGGCAATTGTGGAGACCTCCCTAGAGACAGAACTGAGGCAGGTGAGGGTTAGAGTGACGATCACTGGAGAGATCCTGCCCTGGCAGTCATGAGGACCTCTCAGTAGGGCGGTTTCCTGAAATTCATCTAGTGTAAGCTGAATATTTTTTCACAAGACTCACCTGCCTTGCCGTCTCCCCTTCTTGTTTTCTAACAAGTTTTTTAACAGGTGAAAAATCGAGGTATAGAACGGTCATGGGACTTGCCTAATACAGAACAACTATTTAGGGAATAGAGTGGAACCCAGGATTCTTGCCTCAGAGCCCTAAATTCTTTCTACTACCCTGTCTGTATGTTATTATGTCTCCTTGGATAGAAAACTTAAAATCATACAATATTAGTCAGTCTTCATAGTTTATTACATTTGTACTTTCAAGGAACAATGGTAAATGTTGTTTAATAGAAATACAAATATATTAGTCCCTTATTAACTGCTTTCTGCTGGAGAAAAAAATGCTTATGCAGGCTGTTGTTACAAATCATGTGTAAAATTATAATCTGTTGTTCAGTTAGCAGTTATGTGCTCCCAAGCCAAGTTATTTTACTTTAATGTACTTATATTAATATAATAATTTTTAACTAAAAGTTAAACATACTTATAGCCATATTTTCAGAATAAGATTCTCTTTCTAATATTAACAGCATCACTAATTTACAGAGTAACCACACTGTTATTAGTTATCTAGTATTCATTATCTTATAATAAAATCACCACATTCTCTTTATTTTACAGAAAACTATTATAATTCTCAGTGCATCACTTTTAACATTTGCAACTTTGTGTATCTAAGCCCTTTAAATATTTTTTCACTAGGATTTATTATTTCTGAAACTGTTTGTATTCTCAGAGAAATTTTTTAAATTATGAAAAATTTAAATTCATGTACTTAAAATCTATTTCCTGAGTGTTAAGGGAAATACTCGCCAGCAGCAAACTGTAGGGTTTGTCCTGGCTGTTGTAGATAATTTAGTTATAAGGTTAGGTGTCCTTGTAGAAATTGTATTTTAATCCCGTAAAGGGGCTGTTACATATTAAATGGCAACAATTTGATGTTCTTGATGGTTAATGCAATAATTTTCATTTTATTACAACAGATGGTTTATCATAGCCTCTTCCCAGGGTCCTTTTTAAAATGAGGGAGTTAAGTAGAGGAAAATGGAACTGAATGTAGCCGTGGGCTGTTTATTTAGTAATCAGATGTTCTTGGTGGAAAGTATTTAATCTTGGGATGGAATAGTCTTGAGTGCTCCTGATTAAGGAATTTCAGCTGTAAAATTTGTACTAGCCCAGAGCTTGAACTAAATCTCCCACGCTGATTACCTTTCTGATGTCTCTTTTCTTACTGTCTCGTGTTTGCAGTTTGTGAAAGGAGCAACTTGAGCTGCTGTCTCATGGAGTCTAGTTTCTCTGTCTCTCCTTCTTTAGACAGTGCCTGTGCTGCAGCTCTGCTCTGTCTGCACAGTGAAGCATAAAGCTTTGAAAGTTCTCAGTGACTTCTTTACTCTCCTTCCTGTTTTACGCTGCATGTCAGTTGCTTGGGCATACTTTTGCATTGACTTGTGCTTGCTCTTAGAACCTGGCCTGATGCCTCTCAAGTGTATCCACAGTGAGTTGGTGCACTTGTGCAATTGTGAATCTGAAGGTGTTTCTTTTTTCTCTCTTTCTTCTGTCAGTGCTGGAGCAGAACAGGTGCAAGATATTGCCTGATGCAGATAAGAACAGGAAAACTACTCAGCATCATTAACTGTTAGGGAAACACAAATTGAAACAGTGAGATACTACCAGAATAGCTACACTTACAAAGACTGACAGTACCAAGTTTTTAACAAGAATGTAGAAAAACTGGAACTCTTTCTTATTGTTGGTAGGAATGCAAAATGGTATAGCTATTTTGAAATCAATGCAGAAAACAGTTTGGCATTTTTCCTTTACGTTGGACATATACTTACCATATAGTCCTGCAGTTCTGTGCGTATGTGTCTGCTGAAGAAAAATGAAAACATGTGACCACATGAAGATTTGTGCTTTGACATCTGTAGGAACTTTATCCAAAAAAACCTGAAAACTAGAAAAGCCCTAAGTGTTTATCAGGGTGAATAGATATACATATTGTGATGTATCTATGCAATGAAATATTATTCAACAATAAAAAGGAGTGAACTGTTGGCACATACTACAACATGGAGGAATCTGAGACACATTATGCAAAGTGAAAGAAGCATGACAAAATATTATACACTATATGGTTTCATTCGTATAGCATTCTAGAAATGACAAAACTATAGTGGTAGAAGGCACATCAGTAGTTGTCAGGGGATGGGGAAAGGGGATTGAATGCAGAGGCCATAAGAGAACAACTTGAGGTGGTGGAAATGTTCTGTATGGTGATTGTGATAGTGGTTACACAATTGCAAACTCATCCAATTTTATACTTAAAATTGGTAAACTTGATTGTGTGTAAGTTAGACCTCAATGAAGCTAGTTTTTATAATGGTATTGTCTGCTAGTGTAAAAGGGAAAAACTACAAGGCCGGTTAATTGTCTATGGTTCTTTCTTTTCCTTCCATAAAATAATTTATTGGTTTTTCCCTAGCACTCAAAAACATATCTCCCCCTACTTAGTGTGATAACAAAATTAGATTAAAAATTTCTCTTTTTTAATACATGTATCTTCCATTTTTATTTTGTAAAATCATTGTCGTTAAATATTTTTCAAAAGCATAATTTTAATGGTTATATGATATTCCACAATAAAGATGGACTATAATTTGTTTAGCTATGTCCTGTTATAGAATGATTCTGTTTTTGTTGTCATTTTCTGAATTTTTTTATAATTGTCCTGGCATGAACATTTTTCTTTGACTTTAAATCTTTGTTTGCTTAAATGAAATTTTTGGGAGAAGAATTACTGGATCAAAAGCTATAACTCTTTAAAGCTCAATATATATTGCCTGATTACTTTTCAGAAGGAGTTTTTATTTTATTTTTTTGAGTCAGGGTCTCGCTCTATTTTTAAATTTCTTCCTCTTTTTTTTTGCTATTATCTTTTGGGGTCTTTCCTCCCATTGTATCTTCCAGCTGCTTTATATAAAAGTATTGATTTTTATGTATTATTTTGTACACCATCACCTTACTGAATTCCTGTTGTTCTTCCTTATTTTTTCTCATGTACTTTGCCTGCTTTTTACAAATCTATTTTCATGAACATTATATTACTATTCATATTAATATTTATCACATTTTGTGAATATTTTCTCTAGTTTGTTGTTGTTATTGATGTTCTTGGGGGTTTTTTTTTTTTTTGAGTTGGAGTCTCACTCTGTCACCCAGACTGGAGTGCAGTGGCTGCTCTCGCGATCCTTCCCCTACAGCCTTCCAAGTAGCTGGAACTACAGGCGCGCACTACCACGCCCAGCTAATTTTTGATTTATTGTAGAGATGAGGTCTCGCCAAGTTGCCCAGGCGGGTCTCGAACCCTCAGGCTCAGGCAATCCACTCACCTCGGCCTCCCAAAGAGCTGGGATTTCAGGCTGAGCCACTGAACCCAGCTGTTATTGATGTTCTTATATCTCAGGTTCTTGAAGAGATGACCCATTCTTTCTCATTGCTGCATGACAAAGTTTTTTGTTGTTGTTTTCTTGTGATTTATTATGTTAACAGTTATTTATGGACCTGAGTTTACAACATATGCTAAAGTATTAACTTCGATCAGACCTATCTAAGCCTGTTCATTTGTTCACTCAGTGTACACTAAGCGCACATGCTGATTGAGTGCTGCTGTGTGCCAGGCACTGCTCTAGGTATAAGGATGGACTAGGGAACACTGAGTTTTTATTAGACCCATCCCAGTCTGTCCATTTATTCACTCATTGTACACTCAATACATGCTGATTGAGTGTTGCTATGTGCCACATACTGTTCTAGGTATGAGGGTGGGATAGGAAACACTGATGAGCTTTTGTTTATTCGTGCCTTACTTTGTAGGAATTCCACTATATAGAAGAAGATTTGTATCGAACCAAAAACACATTGCAAAGCAGAATTAAAGATAGAGAAGAAGAAATTCAAAAACTCAGGAATCAGGTATGAATCACCATTCACAACTTAGGAAAAGATGCTACATTAAAAAAAAATGCAGTAAGATCTTTTTCCCATATTTTCACCTGAGTCCTGTTGTAGTTGTGACATGTTATTATCAACCTGGTACAGAATTTTTTATCTAATGCCAAGTCAACGTTTGCTTGATTTTTTGATTTGCTTCTTTATAGAAGTATCTTACAGCCAAAGTTACCTTAGGAGATGAGAATTATTCTAAAATTTTATACCTTTTGACTTCGTTATAATTGTACTGATTGTCAGCTTCATAATTGTGATTTAATTTTCCTAAGAGAAGCCCAATGATAAATCTTTCAATTAGCCATTGATAGGTCTCCTGTAAAATCACCAAGACCTTTTTTTTTTTTTTTTAAGTGAGAAAGCAGGATTTATCAAGAGGACAGAAAAGCTCCCACAGTGGTGGGGGACCTGAAGGGGTTGCCCCACCAAGACCTTTTTTAACGCTGAAAATATTAAAACACACAGAAAATAATGACCCTCAAGTGCCTACCATTCAGAATTACCAAAGCCTTTATCGTTAACCAATAGAATCATGCACTTACCCTGTAATTATACATTGACTTAATATATGATGTATTTATTGGCAATTTACATAATTTGCAGGAATCATTTTAATAATTTACATAAATTATTTCAGGTATGAAGCAATGAGGTCTTGCTTTGTTGCCTAGGCTGGTCTGGAACTCCTAGACTCAAGCAATCCTCCCACCTCAGCCTCCCAAGTTCTGGGATTACAGGTGTGAGCTACCATACCTGGCCAAATAGTCCATAATTTTAAATGTTTTGAAATACCTTGTCTTAATTTTTATGAGTTGGGAACAGCTAACTTATTTGAGTGTTCCCTTCTTCTTCCCTTATAAATGTTTATGAAATACTTATAAATGGGAATGTGACTTGCTAGCTAGTCAAAGGAGCAAAATTCACCAGTTGGTTAACCCTTAAACATGTCTATGTTTCCTAAATAATTATTGAGTACCTATTGTCTAAAATATTGTGCTGTCTTTTTAATAATCAATAATTTATCTTAAAGATTTTTTCATGTAATTAGAACAGAGGAAAACCTTTGTCTTATAGAATGAAGTTGACTTCTACAGTTGAAAAGAGATCAGCATCTTCTAAAAAAAAATCTGATTCTGAATGAACAACAAAAAAATCCGATTCTGAATGAACAACAAAAAATTTCGCTTCTATCTTACTACCTTTGGGCTTCCTGGGAGAGCAGTATGTTTGTTCCAAAAAATCAGTTTACCAGTTTAAATATTTTTTTCATTCTTTAAAAGCTATTACGTGAGTGTAAATAAAAACATATGGGGGAGAAAAATGAACCTTCGTCCTTATCCCCTAACTAGCTTTGTGGAGTCAACAAAAATTAATTTGGAATGAAGCCAAGTCTAAGCCATAAAAGTCCTAGGAGAAAGCATAGGAGAATCTTTTTGCAATTTAGAGATGACAGATATCTTAGGACACAAAAAGCACTAACCATAGAAGAAGAAAATGATAAACTGGAATTAATCAAAATTAAAAATTTCTGCTCATCAAGAGACATTGTTACAAAAAAGGGAAGAGAAGTAAGCCACAGACTGGTGGTGATATTTATAGCACATACATCTGACAAAGTGTATATATATAAAACCAGGGTAAGAACTCTTAATAGGAAAGATGCACAACAATTTCTTTTCAATGGACAAAGGACTTGAATAGACACTTCTCAGAAGAACATACAGGCATACCTAATTTTATCGCACTTTGCAAGTGCTGCATTTTTTACAAATTGAAGATTGTGGCAACCCATGTCAAGCAAGTCTGGGGCCATTTTTCCAACAGCATATGATCACTGTATCTGGGTCACATTTTGGTTAATTCTCACTGTATTTCAGATCTTTCATTATCATTATATCTGTTATAGTGATCTGTTATAGTGATCACTGTGATAAGTGACCTTTGATGTAACTATTAAATTGTTTTGGGGTGCCATGAACTGCACCCGTGTAACACAGTGAACTTTTAGTTGATAAATGTGGTGTGTGTTCTGGCTGTTCCACCAACTGTCTATTCCCACATCTCTCTCCCTCTCCTCGGGCCTCATTCTTTGAGGCACAGCAATATTGAAGAGTAGTGTATCTCTCACTTTAAATCAAAAACTAGAAATGATTAGTGAGGAAGGCATGTCAAAGCCAGGATAGGCCAAAAGCCAGGTTCTTTGTGCCAAATGGTTAGCCATATTGTGAATACAAAGTAAAACTTCTTAAAGGAAATTAAAAAATGCTACTCCAGTGAACAGATGAATGATAAGAAAGTAAACCAGCTTGATTGCTGATTTGGAGCAAATTTGAGTTGTCTGGAAAGAAAATCAAACCAGCTACAACATTCTCTTAAGCCAAAGCCTAACCCAGGCAAAGTGCTAACTCTCTTCAATTCTTTGAAGTCTTAGAGAGGTGAGGACTCTGCAGAAGAAAAGACTGAAGCTAGCAGAGGTTGGTTCATGAGGTTTAAGGAAATAAACTGTCTCTATAACATAAAGATGCAAGGTGAAGCAGCAAGTGCTGATGGAGAAGCCACAGCAAGTTCTCCAGAAGATCAAGTCAAGATCATGGATGAAGGTGGCTATACTAACAGCAGATTTCCAGTGTGTACGAAACAGCCTTCTATTGGAAGAAGATGCCATTTAGAGCTTTCTTAGCAAGAGAGGAGTCAGTGCTTGGCTTCAGAGCTCTTTGAAAATAACTTTTTTTTTTTTTGAGTTGGAGTCTCACTCTGTCACCCAGACTGGAGTGCAGTGGCCGCTCCCAGCCATTGCACCTCGCCTGCTGGGCTCCGGCGATCCTTCCGCTCAGCCTTCCAAGTAGCTGTAACTACAGGCACGCGCTACTACGCCCAGCTAATTTTTGATTTAGTGTAGAGATGAAGTCTTGCTAAGTTGCCCAGGAGGGTCTCGAACCCGCGGGCTCAGGCAGTCCACTCACCTCGGCCTCCCTGAGGCGTGGGATTACAGGCTGAACCACCAAGCCCAGTTTGAAAATAACTTTTCTAAGCAGTGAAAGAATTATTAGAGTTTTGAAAAATCAATGCTACCATTGTTTTGTGAAAATATAGTTGTGTGGTTTCTACATTGTATGACTTTCAGTTTATGTACTAATTTCGTGAACACGTTATCTTTCAGCTTACCAATAAGACTTTAAGCAATAGCAGTCAGTCTGAGTTGGAAAGCCGGCTCCATCAGCTGACAGAGACTCTCATCCAGAAGCAGACCATGCTGGAGAGCCTCAGCACTGAGAAGAACTCTCTGGTCTTTCAGCTGGAGCGCCTAGAACAGCAGGTGAACTCCGTCTCTGGAAGCAGCAGTAATGGGTCCTCTATTAACATGCCTGGGATCGACAATGGTGAAGGTAATACAAAAAAATCCCAAAAGAGCATTTCATTCAAATATGATTTGAAAAATCGCAGAAAGACTATTTTTATTTGGAAAGTAGCTTCACCCAGTGAAGAGACCAGTTTTCCCGTGTGAGACCTGAGCCTTGTACTGTATAATGTTGTCATTAGTGAACTGGGTAGTGGGCCGATTAACATCCTTCACCAGCATTAGGCTTGAGGAAAGGAGACCTGGGGATTGATCATCATATTGAAATGTATACAGTACTTACTGAGATGGTGTTGACAGGTTAATTGAGTAAGGTACTTTCAGGAAACTCCAAAACAAGATGCACTTTAATAATCTTCCAGTAAATAATTATGAATATTAAACCTCATACATATTAATATAAAAGCTAATAAGTATATCTATGCTCTATAATTATAATGAAGAAATCTAAAGAGTCACAAAATATGAAATCAAAAAGAATATTACAGAATAAACATCAACAGATCTGATTTTATTCTCAGAACTTCATAGTCTACAGGTGGTCATTCAGCAAACCTTTCAAGTTCTTTGGCTTTACATTTATTTTTCCTTGGTTAGAAAAAAATCCCCAAGTATGGGTATGGATTGTCTTGAAATAGGGTGTTCAAGGAAGCCTCATTGAGTGCGGCATCAAAGAAGGTAAGGTAGTGATCAGTGAAGAGGCCAGGAGGAATACTGTCCAGACAGAGTAAAGGACAGGCACAGAGAACTGAGGTAGGGGTGTGCCTGCCCTATTTGAGGAACAGCAAGAGTCCAGAAGTTGGAGGAGACTGGGTAAAGGAGACGGAAGGTGAGTCCAGGGCAGCTGGAGTAGACTGGGTGAAGAGACGGAAGGTGAGTCCAGAGCAGCTGGTGTAGACTGAGGGAAGGACATGGAAGGAGATTCCAGGGCCTGGAGTAGACTGCGTGAAACAGACAGAAGTTGAGTCAGGGCAACTTGAGTCGGCTGGGTGGAAGAAAAGGAAAGAGTCCAGGACAGCTGGTGTAGACTGAGTGAAGGGGATGGAAGGTGAGTCCAGGGCAGCTGGAGTAGGCTGGGTGAAGGAGTCAGGAAGTGAGTCTAGGACAGCTGCAGTAGACTGGGTGAAGGAGAAGAAAGTCTAGAGCAGCTGGAGTAGACTTGGTAAAGGAGATGGGGTTGAGTCTGTGCTTGAGCAGGCTATTTGGCCTGTATGTGGAGTTTGACTGTGAGTGTGGTGGAGAGTCTTTCAAGGGTCTTGAGGGGTGGCTTGTCTGAGTTGCGTTTTAACAGGACGCCTCCGGCAGTTTTGTCCAATAGAATCCTGAGTGCCAATAGGGGAAGCTGGAGACCCATGGGCTACTGAATTAATCCGTGTCTAGTTGGGATCTAGAGCAGAGTGGGATTGTGGAGTAGTTTTAGGATTTATTTTAGAAGTGAGGTACCAGGGTTCACTTGCAGCCGGATATGGAGTTTGAGAGAAAGAAAGGAGGAAAGGACTGTGGCTTGAGCAAATGGAGAACGGAGATCTGTCCTAGGTGGACATGGCTGGAACTGCAGGTAGGCGGGAATTCAGTCATAGTTTAGGGTGTGCTGAGCGTGCCGCACCTGTTGGACATCCTGGTGGAGGGGAATGGACCGTGGGTGAGTCTGGCATGACTGGGAGTCTGAGCTGGAATGCAGATGGGGAGCCCCCACTGTGCAGAAAGGCTGTCGGCCTCACTGCTGGTAGGTAGGAACAGAGGGTCCGTGAGTCTCGCTGCCCTTGGGTGTTTGTCAACTCTTGAATTGTGGCTAAAATTAGTCTCTCAGTTTTTTCACTTTTCTTTTTGTGGATTTGGAAGTTTGAACTTTTTATGTAATCAAATATATCTTCATGGTTTCATCTCCTTTAGTGTAATGCTTAGAGGGTCAACCTTGAGAATTCCTTCCATATGTAATATGAATGTATTTCCAACTATAGTTTTTCTTAGCAAGTTAAATTAACTTTCTTAGAAAGTTAATTCTGGTCTCAGTACAGTAACTTTCTTATTCAAACAGGTGCACGTTTGCGAAATGTTCCTGTTCTTTTTAATGACACAGAAGCTAATCTGGCAGGGATGTATGGGAAGGTTCGCAAAGCTGCCAGTTCAATTGACCAGTTTAGGTAAGCAATGCCAGGAGGAGGAATGATGGATTGTCAGCTGCTTTTATAATATTTCCAGTTGTTCTGATCATGGTGAAGCCCATCAGGCAGAGGTGATATTTAAAGTGACATTTACCTATTCCTTTTGTAACATTCCAGTGTCGTGAAATTGTTTCAAGAGGTCTGCCAGTCCCTACATTTTATTGACAATAATTAACCCTGACTACCTTGCTTCTCTCTATGAAAAATTCTATGTTTAAAACTCTCCTTAAATTTTATTGAGAAAACCCTATCTCATGTAAAAGAATCCATTTGAATGTTTTATCTCAGTACTTTGTCATATGATTAGAATAAAAGATGCTACTATAGATAACTGATCAATACTTATATATACACACTTTTTTTTTAAGTCAGTGTAGTCTCAGACTAGAGTGCAATGACATGCTCACGGCTACCACAGCCTTGACCTGCTTGCTTGGGTAATCCTTTTGCCTCAGTCTTCCAAGTAGCTGGAACTACAGGCATGCCTGGATAATCTTTTGATTTATTTGTAGAAATGAGATCTCAACAAGTTGCTCAGCCTGGTCTTGAACCCCTGGGCCCAGGCAATCCTCTTGCCTCCACCTCCCACAGTGCTGGAATTACAGGTGTGAGCCACCAAGTCTGGCCTATTTTAGAATATATTCTTATATATTAAATAACATAATTTGTATTTTGTGTATATTTATATATAAATTTTTTGTACTAACAGGCATTCACCTTTTCAAGAAAATATTTTAAGAATTTTCATATAGCCTTGTTAAAGTTCATGTCTAAATAACCTGCTACAATTCTTTTCCTTTGAATGTTTGTAATTAAACAGTTTTAATGAATTGTTTGCATAACAGTAATCTTTTCTTACTTTTTTGTGTCAAATTAAACTATGGTGTTAAAAATAATATTGACATACTGAGATTTCCTGAAATGGAGGGACCAGGGTTCCTTAATCATTATCTCTAGTCGAGCATATCTATTTTAACTATTCATTTATTCAGCAAACATAGTGGAAGTGAACGGTGTAGAAAGATGTATCTGCTTATACACATATCAGTCCTGACAGGAAAAAATGTTGCCAAGGGGCGTGAGTAACAATGTCTAGATGTGGTCTGCACTTGGGTTTCTATAGCTAGGTATCATTCAGGAGCATGTGTCTGTGAAAAAGCTTCCAGATTAGCTCTTTTCAGGTTAGTGCCAAGCAGACTATTTTTTCCCCTATTCATGTGGTTGGCACTTAGCTTATCTTAACTAACTTCTTTAGGTCCTAGAAGAAAAACGATTTAAGGGGGAACAAGTTTGTGTTCTGCAGCTGTGGCCATAGAATTAAGAGAAATACCTTGTGCTAACACTTAGTAGGCAAGCCCCAAGTATTTGTTTACTACAATGACGTTTCTATATGGTTATTTAACAATCTATGATAAAAATAAGCCTTCTGTGGTAGCCACAAAAATAGTTTAAATGAGTGAAATTTTTAAAGTGTCCTTAGATGTTACCACGGAAAGACTTGTTTTGGTTGTAATTCTCTTTCCTACCCACCCCTCTACCTGTTTGCACAGTATCCGTCTAGGAATTTTCCTCCGAAGATACCCCATAGCACGCGTTTTTGTAATTATATATATGGTAAGTAAACTTCTTTGAAAAAACAGCTACACTTGGTTTTTAACTAGTTTTTTTCAGCTGTTGATCTTTATATTTGGCAATCAAAGAGTGGAACTCATTCTTGGTAATTAAGATTTTTTTAATAAAGTAGAATACAAGTTAGCAATTCTTTATGTTGAGAATATAAATTACTCAAAGACTCTTCCTATAAATAAAATAAAGTTTAGTGAAGTTTAGTAGTTACCTCCATTTTTAAGCCTCTCTAATGATAATGAAACAGAACAATTGATTTCAGTTTTATCTTAATGTTGTAAAGTTGTTTTAATTATTTTAATATGTTTTGCTTTATTATCTAAAAGGATCTCCAGATTGATTTACTTTCTTCCAGATTTCTTAGCTTTAATAAGACAGTCTTAATAGTTTGGGACTATTCTGTGTGCATGTGTCTAAAAGTAATTAGATTGAATTAAGATGGGCTGTTTTCTTGAGAAGAATAAAAGCCTGTTTAAATAGAAATTTCTCTGTGATCCACTAGAGGGAAGAGTTATTCCTTTAAACAAAAAGTTTTTAAGAGGGGGAGGATAGGGAGATTAAAAAAAAAAGTAATGGTATCAGAAAGGTTTCAGAATATGCCCCTAGGGATGGTGCCGTGTTAGGGATCCTGAGTAGCACAGGCATCACCTGTCAGCAGGGGTGTGATTAGTGCCCACTGCCAAGATCCTTGGTGATGGAATCTTGTGTCCCCTCATAACTGCCATGAGGGAATTCGTGGGAATTTCTCTCTGCAGATTGTGTACTAGGCCCTAAGTCAGCCTCTGCAACCTGACATACTCTTGTTGAGAATGTCTGTCCATCTCTTCACCATATCCTGCTGAACCCTCTTCAGAGCATCAGCCATCACCCTGTTGTAAACATGTTTTTCCAACCAGCTCTTTGTACACCTGGCATTTTTTCATGCCATCCACTCTGCATTATATCACCTGACTGGTTATTGATGCAAACGTGTACACCTTATGAATGTGTCTACTCCCCTCACATGAACTCTGAGGGTATAGCAGCTCTTTATTACACTCCACTGTGCTTTCTCGTTTAATAGTTTGTTCATTAGTTCCTTCATTGTTATGCAGTAAACATTCACTGAGCCTCTCATGCTTTAGACATGGTGCATCCCACAGGGGACACAGAGATGAAACAGGATTCCTCCCTCAGGGTACTACTACACCAGGGGTCTTCAGTAAAGATTGGTTTATTGGCTAATGCATAAACTCTTTTTTCTTTGTTTAGGCTTTGCTTCACCTCTGGGTTATGATTGTTCTGTTGACGTACACACCAGAGATGCACCATGACCAACCAATATAGCAAATGAACTGCATCCAGGTGTTGCGATGATGGTTATCTCTTTCTAGACTTGGGGTCTGCAGATAGGCCCATTGCCTAAAATTACTGAGAAGGGTGCACAAGATTACTTTATCACTACAGGCTTTTAACTTTAAGTTATTATACAAGTATTCTGCTACTTAAATCTTCCTCTTATTTTCTTTGAATGGTAAGATGTTCTAAAATAGTAATTTAACACTCTCAGCTCTGCTTTTTTACTTCAGTGGTCCTAACATGTATGTATAGATAGATGTGGGGTCGTTCACCTCTGTACAGACCATCCTGTATTTTAAGTGACACTGATTATGGGTTTTAATCAGGGAAGCTAATTGTATTTAGTGATAAAAATAAAAAGTTTTCCTTTTTGATAATTCAGTCTGCTTTTGTATTTTCATATATTTAACTTTGCAGATAGAGATTTACTTTTTACATGTTAAAGGCCTTATTGGTGTAAATCTTTTTATTTATAAATACATAAATAAAATTTACTGTGCATTTTTCTCTGTTAAAATAATGATTTTTCATCCCAATAAAGAAGACCTTTCCAGATGGACTTTGGTGAGTAGAGCTAGAAATCAGCAGTTAAAGTCACTAGTGAGTGATTCCTGGTGGTTTTCATTGCTCCCTTGTGTACACACTGGCTGCCCGTGGTCCCCTGTGGTGTCTTCCTTGGCTTCTTACTCATCCGTCATCTTCCTCCTCCTCTTCCCTTTTCTCTAGACCGAACCTTGTATTAGCTTGTGATACCCCACAGCCCTGCATGCAGCATTGAAGAATCAGTCTGTTTTAGCAACCTATGCATTTACAAACACTCTATTGCAAAGATATTATAGAGTCATTCCTTGAAAAGGGGCATCTCATTTGAAAAGAGTCCAGTATAATATCTGTTTGATTTTCACATTCATCTGCACATCTGAATTCTTAAGTAGTTAGTCAGCCAGGTCCTGGTGGTCTCTCTTCATATGTAATTGACAGGCACGGGTCCTGGGCTGTGCAGGTTGCAGTCCTTCCTGTCAGGGCAGTGTCTTTGAGGCAGCTGCTTGCTGCCTCACTGAAAACTTGGCCAGAGCTGCTGTTCTCAGTGCACTGCTACCATGACTTCAGCTGACAGATAAGCCCCATAAATCCTTTGGAGTTGTGGTACGCTGTTAGATGTGTGTGCTTCTCCTTTTTCATCAGAAAATGAAATTTTAAAGTTAATCTTAGGTGCGTTTGGCCTTAATGAAAAAGGCAGAAAGATCCACGTTGTATGGAGGTAGGTGTTGGTCTGGAGATGAAGACACATTGCTGACCCTAGAGAGGGTTTAGGGCATAGTCTTGCTCCGGCATGATAGCCATCAGCGCCTGAGCTGGTAAGTCTCACTCAGAGACTAGGAATTCAGCAAGAGTTTAGTCTTGTTAATTTATTTTAAAGGTTTTTTTCCCCTCTCCTAATTTAGAAATATTTCTGGAAAATGGTTAAAACCAGATGACAAACTTGAAACAGCACATGCATTATCATCATACGTTGCCAGACTTCCCATCTCCTGTGTCTTCCTGGCTTTTGTTGGGATGTCTCTAAATCTTTACACATTCTTGGCTTTGAAAATAGTTTGACAGTGTACTTCCGGAATTATTTTTCTGCAGTTGCTTAAAGCTTTAATTGGGTTTCAGTTTCAGGATTCTACCACTAACAAACTGGGAGATTTTTAAAAGTGTTTGTTTATTCACTTATCCTCAGATAGCACGAAACCTCTTGACCTAATTGAAAGGTTGCACAAAAGCTGAGTTTTTTCCTTCTGAAACCAATATATTTATTTGTTGACATTTTAATAAATATGTATACACACACATATATATTATCAGAGCTGTTGAATTTCCCTGTCTCTAGACTGAGTACTTAGCAAACAATACCATTTCTGTTCCTGCTGAACGAAAACCTGAAGAACATAGATTTAGTTAAAATATGGTGGAAAATGGGAAGTAGAATGTCTGGGCAACATAGGGTCAACAGCCAGCTCACCAGAAGGGTGGGGAAGCTAATCACCTGGGCCTCCCTGGGCACCCACTCCTGCTGCAGAGGCCGGTCAAATGTTGGGAAGGCCAGTAGGCATCTCAGTGTGGATGGACACAGAGGAAAGAGCTGGTAAGGCCTGACGGATAGTCAAGGACAGGTGGCTTAAGGGACATCAGGCTTTGAGTGGCCAGGACAGAAATGACTGGGATGGTTGCTCCCATCACTGGGAGCCGTTAGTTAAATAATTCTGAACCTCCACACTTAATCAGTGGCCTGCTTTTCAGACATGCTCAGAACACAGACTCCTCAAATAAGTGAAACACTTTTATAAGAGCACATGAGCATCAGGTGTTATGCATGGAAGCCTTATTGGGAGATGATGTTTCAAGGAAAAATGTGGGCAGTAAAATCATTTTAAGCCAAAAGACTATAGAGTAACTCGAGTTATGAATGCTCTGTGTTCTGCTCGCTTCCAGGAGCTGGGAATAGAGTGGTGGACAAAGAAATACCTGCCCAAGCTGGCCTTGTGGGGGAAGTGTTAAGTGCTATAAAAAAAGTAACAGTTGAGCCAGGCTCGGTGGCTCAGCCTGTAATCCCGCGCCTTTGGGAGGCTGAGGTGAGTGGATTGCCCGAGCCTGCGGGTTCGAGACCCGCCTGGGCGGGCAAGACCTCATCTCTACAATAAATCAAAAAATTAGCCGGGCATGGTAGCACGCCTATAATTCCAGCTACGCAGAAGGCTGAGGCGGAAGGATCGCCAGAGCCCAGCAGGTGGAGGCTGCGGTGGCCGGGAGCGGCCACTACAGTCTGGGCAACAGAGTGAGACTCCAACTCAAAAACAAACAAAAACAACAAAAAAAAGTACAGTTGGGTAAAAGCAGTGAGGGGGTTGGGGTGGGGGTAACTCAGGAAGTCTGCAGAAGTGGTTTAGCAAAGTGGTGGGCCACATGAAATCCGGGGTGGGAGAAGGTTCAGGAAGGAGCTCACAGCTTCTGAGTGGGCACGGGCTGTGTGTCAAAGACTAGAGGCCGGTGGGATGGCAGCGTGAGGGGACAGGGAGGGTCGGGCCAGGTCCAAGAGGACCTGCAAGCTGCCGTTAGGACTTCAGATCGAAAGTCCCTTTTTGTTTCTTGGCAGCACCCTGTGCCCCTGAACCACCACCTTTAGCAGGGAAAACTTGTAAACATCTATGTTTGAGAATCTGCAGACTACAGTTCCACTTGTCAGTGCTACAGATACGGTAGCAATGACTTATTTTGTGGAGGTGAGGACGGGCTGTGCCAGAGCAGGTGCTTTCCTATGTAGTGGCTAAGACCACTGAATCAATGAATGTGTAGACTCCCCAAAACCTTCTTGGTCTGCACACTGCAGGTGATTCTTCATAAAGTCCAAGAGTAGAGCTCTTCGTGTCTGAAGGCAGATGTCTTCCATCCTTGACTAGCCAACAGCGTGACTCACGGGCTGGCAATGCTGGTGCCATGAACTGAAATGTCTTCCGACCCCTCGGTGTCTGACTTGTAACTGGCCCATGACTGATGTTCATGGAACATCACTGACTGAGTCAAGCAGAGCACTGAGCTCTGCACGACCCCCCAGAGCTTCCTGGACCCTCTCCAGCATCATCCCATTCATACAGCTCATCTGGCTTCTAAACCACAGCAAAGGAGAAGTAACTGGCCAGGCACCTCGACAGTGGTGTCAACTTAGACTGGGCGGCTCAGCAGGGCTTCCCCCAAAAGAGAAGGCTGCGAGGATTTAGAATATAAACGCAGAAGATGACCTGGTGAAATTGCTGATTGTACATGTTCATAGGTGCCTGTGTATGGGCTGCTGTAGAAAACAGCCTCGGGGGACTCAGACACAACAGGAGTTGCTGCTCACGGCGCTCGAGGCCAGGAAGTCTGAGGTGAAGGTGTGGGCATATGCAGGGTCTGCTGAGGGTATGTTCTCAGATGGTCTTTCCTATAGCCTCACGGGGCAGGAAGGGTGACGGCTCTCTGGGGCCTTATCCCCTTGGTAATCCACCCTCATAATCCATGTCTCTTCAGGGCATGTGCCGCATTCATCATCCACCTTCATGATCTCATCACCTTCAAAGACCCCACCTTTGTAATAAACTTTACTAGCAATTTGTTTCAACTCATAAACATGGCTTAAGTCAGTTGAATCTAAGAATTAATTAAAATTTTAAATATAATGAGGACCAAAACATATTCCCAAGGGAGTGAAAATTAATTCTTAGGAGGACAAAAATATCTTCCTGTTTTTATATACCCCAGATACACATGTAGTACAGAACAGTATCAGTGGGATTAGGATTTTTTTGTGGGGTAGTAATTACAAACAAAAAGTTGAACACAGGGATAGACTGAAAAAAGACAGAGACCTAGTTTCTAACCTCATGGAGCCTACATTCTCACAAAGGAAACTCTTTGATACATAATATATGTACATATTTTGGGGTACATGTGATAATTTAATACACATAATTTGTAAAGATCAAGTCAATGTAAATATTAAACACTGTCTTTTCCTTGTGTTGGAGAAACATTCAAATCAGTCTAGCTTTTTTTTGAAGATGTGGGATACGATTCAGGGTTAGGTATACAAATGTTCATTTGTACCCTTGTTGATGAGGTGTGCCCCTCCCTCCCCTGACAGTGTCCCTCAACTACCAATCCCACCTCCCTCTTCTAGCTATTTTTAAATGTATAGTCAATTATTGTAAACTATAGTCACCCTACTGGTCTATCAAACGCTAGACCTTATTTCTTCTATCGGACTGCATATTGTACCCATTAATCAACCTCTCTTCTTTCATCACCCCTGCCCTTCCCAGTATCTATACCTCTGTGAGATCCACTTTTTAGCTCCCACATATGGGTGACTTGTGATGTTTATCTTTCTGTGCTTGGCTTATTTCACTTAATGCCCTCCAGTTTCATCCATGTTGCTGCAAATGACAGGACTACATTCGTTTTTATGGCTGAATAATCCATTACGCATATATGCTATGTTTTCTTTATCCATTCACGTGTTGGTGGGCATGGAGGTTGATTCTATATGTTGGCTCTTGTGAAAACTGGTTTTTCAAGTAGTGTGTGATCTTGTCCTACTGCCTCATGAGCATCAAACCACTCCCCATGTCTTGGTCTATACTCCAGCCTGTCCCATTGATGTCAGTGTTGGCCACATGACCTGACTTGCTTTGACCTGTGAAATGTTAACAGACGAGACATGCCATTCCTGAGCAGATGCTTTCAGAGTTGTCTGTGTTATTGACACCTAACTTGTTCCTCCTCTGTGAGTCCAACATATCCTAGATAGGGGCTTTCCCCCAGCCCAGACCCTAAAGAGGAAGACGGGATGTGTTCACAGTACACATGCAGTTTGAATTAAGGAAAAATTTGCTTCTGTAGGTCCCTGAAGTCTGGGGGGTTGTTTGTTACTGCAGCACAACCCAGCAACCCTGATGATACACCCACTGC